ACGTGAAAGAGGAGGATCTTTTCCCCCCTCTTCAGTTTTGCTCTGCAGGCTCCAGCCCTGAGGCTGGCAGGCGATGATACAGCACAAGCTATGTCCTTGGGGCCATCTCTGCTTGGCTCTTCCTTTAGGTCTCGGTTGTAAATGGTCAGTTGGCAGGGAAAGGCACAAAGCAGGAGGGGAGGGCAACATTTCCCTTCCCAGGGATTTGGGGCTCCCACCCCAGGCAGCTGGAATGACATGCCCTTGGATGTGAGGGAGGAACGGAGTAGGGCTCCCAGGCACGGTCGCTCTCAAAGCTGCTCTCAGGTTCCTGCCCTTGGCCAAATCTTCAGCTGCTGGTGGTGTGGCTTTGCTGGGATGCTGTTGGCATACGCAAATCACCTGCTACTAAGGGTCACTCTATCCAGGACAACACACACCTCAGATCCATGCTAGCACCAACAAAAGCATGGTTTTTTGTCCAGGCCCCTAATTTGGGCTGTGTAGAGGGGTATATCTGTCCTGAATCAGGGGCGTTCCAGATGAGAAGTTGGAGCACTCTGGTACCCAGCACAGCTGGCTGGGCTCCAGGGATGGAGACAGCAGCACCAGGGGAGACAAGCAGGTGTAAAACCAGGCGAGTACCATGCCAAGGCTCTAAAAGAGGTAGTGTTGACCTGCAGAAGCCACACAGCTCCCTGCGGGTTCCTGGCAGCCAGTCTCCCACTCTGCTCCATCCGAGTCGAGCCTCCCACTGCACAAGGCTGCACAGCTCTGCCTGCCAGGTGCAGAAGGGAACCTGGGGACAGGTCAGGCCTTGGTGAAGCCCATGCCAACCCTCACCTCCTCTCCAAGCTGTCTCTGCACAATGCTGCCATGCTGGGCTGTGGCTCAGAAATGCTCAAGCTCCCAACCTTGGCCAAGGCAGCTCTCCCAGCAGCCCCAAGGATATCGAAAAGGCATTTTGGAGGGTCCTGGACCCCCTAGTCTGATTCCAGCTCCCCTCCAGGCTGCTGAGCAATTAGGCATGGGATCTGTGAGGGGTTCTAGCTGAAAGCAGCCGGCACATCCCTCTGCCTGCTCCAAAATGATGAATGAGCACACGTTTGCTGGCTGGCTGGAGCTGTTCTTTAATAGCTCACTTGCTGTGCCGTGGTCTGTCTGTGCTGGCAGAGACAGCAGGGAAAAGAACTGTCTCCCTGGCAGCGGCTGGCCAGCCAGCTCCTGTGCTGGGCTGCTTTACCTGTGGAGACAGAGCTCACAGTCTTGGTACATCTTGCAGTGTCTGACAGCTCTGGTGCTCCCCCTCCCCAGCAGGTACAGCAGGCAGACAACATCCAGCAGTGCTCCAGCCTGGGCTGGGCGCCCCAGGGACCTGGCTGGCAGGCTGTCTGCAGCACCCAGGGAGGAGAAACCTGCTCGTGCTTCCAAGTGCCCCAGCCCAGTCACCTCTCCCTTCTCCATCCCTGGTCCTCCTCAATCTTTCCCCTTCCCAGTTCTCAAGGGAGAGAGGGGCTACAGCTGTGGCTCCACAGACACAGAAGCTGATCCAGGCTCACCCTGAGTGATACCCCCTTAGTGTGGCTCAGGGTGGGGGTCAGTGCCTACCTAAGATGGCTGGAGGAGTTTGTGCAGTCCCTGCTCTGAGGTCAGCCCTGGGCTCACGCAGCAGAGCAGAGTGGAGCAGAGCACAGCTGAGCAGCCCTGTTGCAGCCCCTGGAGAGAAGCTATTTTAGTCCTGCCATTTGCTGAACGGCAGTGCTGGGAATGGCTCAGAGAGCCGGAGAAACACGGCTCCTCTGGGTGGAAACCATGCAAGGCAGAGCTGGGCCTTGAATTGACATAGAAACACATCTCTGCTTCCTGATCCCTGGGCAGAGAGAAGGGTCCTGGCACTGGGCAGCCCCTGGCTTCTGCTGGGGGGGCAAGTAACCCTTGCTGGCACAGGGGCAAGGATGGGGATTGCCATGGGGGCTGTGCTCACAGCCCACATCCCTCCCAGGACT